TAGAATACAGACTTCTCCTTGCTTAATATCTCTCTCACTTTATCGGTTTGATTTTCGAGGGAAATTCTTCCAAAAATCCTTCCTAGATCAAGATTATTGGTTTAAATCATTTCACTTCCTCGGTTTATCCCTTTAGATTTGATAGATTAATGTTAAAATTAAAATTTTTAAAAGATTCATGGAGCCATATATTTTTTGTCGACTAAGAATTTTTCAAATTAATTGAGACATAATAATGATAAAGATTTGATAACCGATGGTTTGAACAATATTTACACTCATCAAATATTTAAAAAATAAAGAGAAACGCTACTCCTTACCAATAAAAAACAAAAGGTGCTACTTTTGATTTATTTAGGACCAATATTTCTCTAAATTTATTTGGATCATCTAGGATTATTATTTTTGGAATTAGTTTTAACTCATTTGAATTTCAATAAAAAGTTATGAAAAATATAAGGATGAATATACTCATATATGTCTTTATGTAATACTCAAAGTCTCTTATAGATTTCTAATTGCATATTGTTTGTTCCTAAAAGTGTTTGAAATGTTTAACTTGTCATTTCAATCAATTTTTTTAACCAAATAATTTTTTTTAATCGAAATGTCCTTAATTGAAATATATATATATATTTCTAAAGACTTAAAAAATGAAACATGTAGGTCATATGACTTTAAGTATTTTTTTTTTTTTAGTAATGGATATTTTGGTAAAAAAATTCACGATAAGAAAATTTGAATTGAAGGATAGATTATATATTTTAAAATTTTCAAAGACGAGATGGAATATAATTGAAAATTTAAAAACAAAGGAAAGACTTTAAGTATTATAAAAAGAAAAATGGATATGTTTATCCAAAAAAAAATTAAACACACCGATTTTGATGCATTTTTTAGCAAGAGATCGAGTATGTAAATTTTCAAAAAACCCCGAAAACAAAAACAAGAAGAAGATATAGAAAGTAGCAAGTTTGTAATTTTTTATTCAATGACAACTAGTGTCTAAAAGCCAAAAAGTAGCTTAAATAGAAAAGAATTAAATCACATATAAATTAAAAAATAATAAAAACCTAAACATTAATAAGAAAAAAAATAAATAGAAAAGTTATAATTTCTAAACAATAGTAATTAAGGTCTACCTAGCGAAGCTCGAATCATAAGAGTTTGAAAATGAGTTTTTAAAGTGGAATTTAACCTCGAAAAGGTCTATTGTGGCAACCACAGCTAACCAAACTATGGATTTCTATATCAACTTTGTGAATTGATATGATTTGCACCAATGAATATTTGAATAAAAATTATGAACCTTTAAATAACCGGTATGCGCTAGTCTTTTTAGCTACTTTTATTGAACTTTTGTCTATCGATCCGGTTTATTTGACAAAATTATCTAACCACGGATATAACATCAAAGAATCTTCATAATGTTTAGCGAATTATACAAAGACTTTTTTATCAATTCATATCGATGAGTACCTAATTCTTCCCAATGTTATTGGATCAATCTTGTGCAAGTAACCACTTATAGAACTCTAGATGGCTGCAAGAGTTTTTTTCTTCTTCTTCTTGTTTATTTTACTTTTATTTTTTCTCAAGACGAGTAATTAGGATTTGCATCCTTTATATGGGGTGCAGCTCATCTAATAAACTATGCTTTTCATCATTAAGGTACAAATTATATAAAGCTACTTGGGAATTGTAACACAATAGCACCACCAATACAAAATTACAAACTATCTTATTATTAAACAACTAATTACAGCAAATTAAATGATTCAAATCATTTGAACTTATATCGTGACGACACTTGGAAAGCAATTTCTTTTTATATCGCATTAATTTTCCTCATCAAAAGCAGTTAGTTTAATTTTAAGGGATGGATCCGATAAAGATTTGATTTCTTTTTTGTCTTTTTAGATTTAATAGCCCGCATTCAAGATAATTTATTAATCCTTTTTTAAATACACCAAACCAGTGCGAGAAATATATTTTTAAAATTATTTAAAAAAATTAAATTTTGATTGATGTACAAATTAATTGAAGAATATCCTTGCATACAATATTAAAAAAAGCACTTAGTTTGACTGGTTTTACTCGGTAGTATCTAACAAATTGGTAACAAACTCATGTTGCGAGAAAACTCACAATGTTGCCAATGGATTGACTGCCCACAAAACCCCCTCGTAAATTTTTTTCTTTCAAAAAAGTTAACGCTTTTGTACATTTCTATATTCTTTACTTTATTTTTTTTTTCGTAATATCAACCTTGATCATTATATTTTTATCATTTTATATCTTTTTGTAAGTTGATGATGCCCCAAGCACCATTAAAAATAGACGTGTTGTGTTCTCCCAACGTGAATAGTTTACTAATTTGCATTTTGATCACTATATTATATAGGGTCATTTCTATGATCTTTACTTTATATTTGAAAGATTTTTTTATTATTTTTTTTGTCTTAATTGATACCTTGGACATTATATCTTTATTTTTGTATCTTTTCTTAAGTTGATGTAGCACCGTTAAAAATCGACAGGTGTTGTATTCTTCAAGCGTGAATTTTTTTACTAATGTGCATTTTGATCCCTATATTATATTTTTTTTTGACAAATAAATTATTAATTGAAAGTTTATTGGTCACTGTATTTTATAGTCATAAACAATTTAGTCTCTAATTAATTTTTTTAAAAAAATAAGTCTCTACATGTCAAATGATAAACTTAGTAAAATTAGTTAAACAATTTAAATAAATTGATGAATAAAGTAAGAGTTAAGTAGATTTAAATAAATATATTTATTATAATATCACGTATCCATTGTCATAATTTTATTTTTTTGATTCATTTTCTGATTTAAATCCTTAAAAAATTAAGAAAAAATATATATATAAAAAAGAAGGAAAATTATCATAATAGAATTATGATATTATAGATTATGGATATATAAATTTATGAGGATTTATTTTTTCTTTTTTTTAATTAAATGGGTATATATATTTAAATCCACTTAACTCTTATATACCTTGCAGTTCACCTATTTAAATTATTTAACTAATTTTGACTAAGTTTACAATTTGACATGTAGGGATTTAATTTTTAAGAAAATCATTTAGAGACTAACTCGTATATGATTATAAGATACAAAAAAAAAAAAAAAAAAATCAAATAAGTACTTATTTCTAATAATGGTGCACTGCAATACAAAGACTAGAATAAAATTTTCAAAAATTCTAAGGACCAGAATGTAAATTAGCAATCCATGACGTGAGAATGCAACACATGTCAATTTTTAATGACATCAGTGACACCAATTGACAAAAAATGTAAAGATTGCGAAAAATTTGACGCATAAGGTTTATATATTAAGATAAAAACAAATAGTAACATAATCTAATAAATGCAAGACAAAGAGCAGAGAGAGCGTAACAAAGCATTCACCTAAAAAGAAGGGAAAAAAAATCCCAACTTACTAGACATATAGCAAAATTAAAAGACACATATCCTTAGTTTTTTTTCTTTTTCTTTTTTCTTTTTTAATATCTATATATAAAGACGAGTAAGTTATTCTACACTCTAAGTCGGAGCCAATTTTTTTTTTTTTTTTTGAAAAATAGTTATGCTCATAAGAATGTAGATATACCATTAATTATATCTCTATCTAAACCAAAATTTAAAATTAAATACAATTATATATAAAAATGTAAACATATGAACTACAGATCCTAGAAGATGAAATCCAACTCGCAATTTTATAAATGAATATTTTATGAAAAGTTTTCTCGTCGTATCACCCGTTATTAATACAAATACCTACTTTAATTTGAGAAAAAAGTGCTATATAGAATATAATAGCTAGAGGGAATAAATTCTTGTCCTTCATTGAACCTATAAGTGGTGGATTAATCGAGCTTTTACAGATTCAATACTTTAAGTAATACGAAATTATTAATCATCTACTATACCAGTTTTCTTTAAAACGAAACTGGAAAAAAATATGACAATATGTATCATATGGTTTGGTGATCCTTATCTTTAACCAGCAAATAAAGCCAAATTTGCCGCCCGCCGCCGATTGGCTTTGTCCAAATCAGGGGGCACCGTTTTGTGGTTTTGTCCAAATCAGCAAATCTCAGATAAAATATAACCGTGCGTCTCTCTTGCAACCCTCCAAGCGAATAAATTAACTATGTTAAATTTTCTTATCAATCTTTTTATATTTTTTTTACTTATTTTTTATTGATTAAAATAAATTTAAAAAGATAAAAATATAGGTTAAAATTTTTAAAAAATAATTAATTCATTTCTTAAACTAAAAAAACTAATTTATAATTCTCTTATAATAACTATTCATCCAAATATCAATTCTTCTTTTGTCCAGTATTTATATTCTACAAAATAGGTATGTTTGGAAGAAAATATGTATTTTGAAATAGAAATAATTAATAAAATAACTGAAATAAAATAGAGAAATTATATATTTCTTTTTTCGGACGATCAAAATAGAACGGAGAGAGGACCTGTATGTCTTGATCCCATGTTATAACATTTTTGGTTTCAACTCAACAAGTTGCAATACTACTAAACCGGCTTTAGCAAAAAAAAAAAAAAAAAAAATCAGATTTTTTATTTTGATGGTTTTCAAAACAAAAACACTGAACTTGCACCAAACCGAACAAAACAAATATAGATCCATTCACTTCTGATAGACTCCCATCTTCTGATATATGGACCCCGTGGTGCATCCCCTTCAAACATCCCCTGTCACCCTATCCTGTATGTATCTGCCAAACATTAATTTCAGCTAACAATCATTACATAAAGTACAGCACAGTAATTCCCCCTTCCTCCCTTCTCTCTCTTTCTATCTAATCTAGCAGAAGACAATCAGACATATATACACATAGATGCACTATCTATGCTATCTGTTTCTGTCTATGTTTGTCTCTCTCTCTCTCTCTCTCGCTATCATGCTAATTCATGCTAACTCTCAACCCTCAATGAAGCCCCACAACCGCAAACTACAAGTACCATACAACGATGCACCGTTTGAAATCCCCACCACTACCACCTTACAAAGCTCTAACACCGCCACCTTGTCACCACCACCGGTCAAAGAGCCAACCACCATCCCACCACCAACAACATCTTTGCAACAACAATTTTACATCCACACAGGGTTTGACTCGTCTATGGCCTTAACAATTCTAGTTCTTTTGATAGCTCTCTTCTTCATGGGATTCTTTTCTATCTACATCCGTAAGTTCTCCAACGCCGACCCAGAATCATCGGAGGGTTTCTCTAATTCTTCTTCCAGACAACGCAGCAGGGGCCCACTACAGTCAGCAAATACATACAACCGTCCATCAAGGACTTCTGCAGGCTCACGAACTCGAGGTCTTGACCCACAAGTTGTCAAGTCATTACCGGTGTACTCTTATTATCATGGAGATGTCAAGTACCAGATTGAGTGTGCAATTTGCTTGGGTGAGTTTGAGGAGAAAGAGAGTGTTAAGATGATACCAACATGTCAACACGTGTTTCATTTGGAGTGTATTGACATGTGGCTTCAAATGCACGTGACTTGTCCTGTTTGTAGAGGTACCCAGTTTTTTTATGATAAGGGTGGTGGTAGCAGTGGTGTGGTGGTGGTTCGGGGGAGGGTTGATCAGGGTGCGAGTCAGCCCGAGGCAAGATCAGTAGTTGAGAGGGAGGTGGAGACATTAGGGGTAAGGAGAAGTAACAGCTGTTCAAGTTTAGGAGAGAGAATGTCGCTACAAAGAGCAGCTAGTTTGTGAATAGTGTTCTAGAATGAATTCATCGTACTTGTAAATATTTATTTTCCTTTCTGAGAAATCTAGAAGTTCCAACTTGGAAGTTGTAGAGGCAGTAGTTACATATATTTTACTCTGCAATTATTTCTTAATTAGAGTAAACATACGGTCACAACACAGGAAGAACCTCTTTTTTTACCCCAATAATACAAGCAATATATATGGATGCAGGTGCTGCAGTTTTACTATAATTTGTTTTCTTACTCCTTTGGGTTGCAAACTCATCTTGACTGGACTTCTTCTTCTAGAGTTTGTGGTTTTGTTGAAGAACAGACTCTGGACTCTATAATTGTTGATTTGCAAGTTGAAATGATGGTTAAGAGAATATGTTTCCTTTTTCCTTATAGTTCAAATTTAATCTCCGTTTAGAAGAAATGAATTCAGCCTTTGTACTAGAGAACTTGCCCAAAGATTCTCAAACCGTGGGAACAAACTTTTTTTTCAAAAAAGAGCTTGTTAGGTAATAATGAAGCTCATGTTTACATCTAGTTTTATTAGGGTTAGACATTTCCAGATGGCTAGAGGCTCATGTTGAAATCTAGTGTTATTAGGGTTAGACATTTCCAGATGGCTCTAGTTTTATCTAGCCAGATAGCCATCTGGAAATGTGGATCCCTAATAAAACTAGATTTCAATATGAGCCTCACATGGTTAATAATAAAGAAACAAGCTCATAAGAAAACAAAAAATTCTTCGAGGGTCCTTAAACATTACGTACTTTTTAAGCAATTAATGATATTGCGCTTTCTAGATACCCGTACTCTAAGCAACCAATGTTATGGGGCTCTCTAGACGAATCTAAATTTTCTTCTTCTTCTTTTTGTTTTTATTTTTTTTTATGATAAGTCTAAAATCATTGTTTAATAGGTACAACTTGGTAAATCTATTCTTGTCTTGTGCCGTGTAGATTTACCAAGCACACCAGTGATGTTCTATGCTTGAGCTAACACTCAATAATGGAAGGGCCGTCTGTCTTCTCAAAATTTAAGCCCACCTGCCCCTTGATATTCCTAAGGTTGTTTTTGGGCATGAGATGAAAAGACTGGAGAGGAAATGTCAATGGGACAAGATTTAAAGATTAAATGAGGATGTAAAAAGTATTAAATGATTTAATATCAAGGATATTTGATAGAAATTGAAAAAAATATATAGAGTAATCAGAGGTTTCCATATAAATCAAATCAATTTTTAAATTAATAAAATTATAAGAAAATAAACAATACTATTTTTGTTGTCCAAAATAAGAAGTGGATGAGAAAATGAATAAATTAGTATTAAATTAAAAAAAATAAAAAAAAGAGCGGAAGGCTTAAAGGAAAAAATCCATTTCTAAAATTCCTTTACACCTTCCCTATAAGGTTGCAACTTAGCCCTCTAGCTCTTCCCAAAGAACACATTCATCTAATAACTAAATCCTATATTTTCCTAACGGATAGAAATTTGGTTTCATTCAATTAGGAAACTTCAAATGCTAGAATCTGAAGTTCTTCTAGTGGCAACATCAAGGTTAAATTCTAATAATCAATTCTAATAATCCTTCGTTGTCTGAGAAAATGTTGGTGTAAAGCTACAATAACTAACCAACTACTCTATGATGGTAGTTTCGGGCTTTTCGACAACAATCTCTGAAAATAACCTGTGGTGATGACTGGTAACTCCGAAAGGAAAAGAACATCCAAAATCAAGCATCTAAATGAGAATGTTAGCTTTCTCAGCTGAAAGATATTTCCGAATTACCATAGCAGCATGCTTGGAAAGTTCAAGAAATGCCCAAGACCCAAAGTCAACTCTAGTTGGAAAATCTCAATCAAAGATCATAGCAAATATCCCCTATCAAACATTGCGTTTCCATCCTACTCTGTCAGGATGTAAGGGTGAAACTTTCTCCGTCTCACTTTCTTCTGATCATTGAGTCATAAGGCGGGGAACGTATAATTCAAAAAGATGCAAGATATTAAATCAATCATGCATTCTCCAAAGGAGGAAAAAAAAATCATTCCTGTGGTACGGTACCAAATATCCTTGAGGAAAGTGAGCAACAGCGCACTGTTGGACAGGTATTAAGATATATTTTGAGAATTTTTGTAATCAAGGAAATGAGGGCAATAAACTCACTCAGCAACCCGAAAAAACAAAAAAAAAAATCCAAACATTAACACTAACATATTATTCCACTCAATTTTTTTTATTATTCACATTTCAATAATGAATCAAAGGAGCCAAATTGTTATCTCAATCATACAGTCAATATTATCAAAACCATGAGGAAAAAACCAGGAAATAATAAATACCTGGTGGGATCCAGAGGCACGACTGACAAGAATAATCGTGCATGGTTAAATCAAACATATCATTTCTTTCTAATTTGTCCTCTTGTTTCTCAACCATCAAATTATAAGACAAAGTAGGCACGGATAACCTCCGTTACAGGTGCCCTGCACATTGGACACTTCTCCCCACTTTGCACCAACTCATCGGCACATTTAGAACATGTGCACATGTGTCCACACCTGTAACAAGAAGATAGCCAAAAGAAAAGGGAAAACAACGCAAGATTAGATAAATATGCAACAAGTCCCATTCTTATCTGGCCCGTCCATGCGTCAAACCAATGTCAGAAACTTGTACAGTTCCGTTGAAATTTACCTGTACAGTAGAGAATCAATACTGCCATCACAACATATACAGCAAATTCCTTTCCTCACATGTTCCCATTTAGATCTATCCTCACGAACACTGTTTTCACACATCCCTGCAAATAAAATAATGCATTTAATGGTCAACCCCTAAAGGAACAAACAAAATGATACCACAAAGTGCAAGGGGAGACAAAAAATTCTCACTAAAGAATAGGTCATATTCCCATACATGCAATTTCAGAGGAAAATATCCAACAGAAAATTAAAATATAGAAATGTTTCAATTCCAACTTGAATAAATTAAAAAATTACATGCATACACTAATAATTATATTTTCCCCTCAGCACTGGTAGTGAAACAAGTCCTGATAAGATTTCTTTCGTTGAGAAAGTAATGGAATGCATAAAACTATTTTTTTTCCCCAAGCTAAATTGAAAGATATGATTTGTGTAGCCCTCGCTGGAGGGAAAAATACCTATACAGACCGGACCGCAAACCGTAGCTATTTCTCTAAAGAATTGCCTCTTAAGCATATCATGAATGACCAACAAAAAAAGGAGCAGAAATAGAAGAATTGTGACAAATAGAACACACCTGGTGAACCAGCAGAGCGATTCAGGGCAGCTGAAACTTCTTGTCGTATTGACCGTTGCAGCTCAAGTTGCATGTCCATGCATGCTTCCAGCATTCTCTGCATGTTATTCATTCTTTGTTGTAGCCTAGCCATGTCAATCCTCAAATCACTAATAATGTCCCATTCCTGTATCAAATCAAATCGATGTTTCAGTTGAAACTGAAATTGTTTGATAAATTTTTTATATTAATTTGAACCCATCAATTTGACCAACCCCATCAATTAGTGGTAGAGGTTAGGAAAAGCAATTTGCCTGCCCCAAATAAGCTATATAAAAATTTAACCGAGAAAAGCACACATTCAAATGTCGCTTTTAGTGCATGTTGTAAACAGGAATCCAGTTCCAATAATGACTTAGAATAAGTGAACGCACAATTCCAAAGCGCGGATGCATGTCATGCTGTGGCCAAGTATAATGCTGTGACTCTTGATCCCAGAGCTGCTCTACAGGGGGTATAGGTGGTGAAGGTTGAACAAGTGAAGGACTCTGAACAGCAGTCTCCTGACTCTCATTCTGATCCCCAGTCTGCTGCTCCAGATCTTGTTCTGCTGATGCAGGGGTAGATGATGTTTCTTGCAGTTCCCATTCAAGGGGAGCATGGCTTTGCCTTTCAACATATGAGCGTATCAATTGGTCAAGACTCTCACGGAAACCACTTTGAAGAAGTGTAGAGACGCTTCTCCTACCAAATGAATAAAAAACTTCTATAAATATTTTGAAGAATCAAAATGGCGAAAAGAATAGGCCTTTAGAGTTGAGCTTCATACCTGCTCAAGAGTTCCCTGAGTTCCATGCTGTAAACATTATCATCATCAGGAAAATAAAATGGATCTATCCTACCAACTGATACGTCTTCCTGATTAGAAGGCTCTGTTAGCCAATTTTGCACAGCCTCTTGAAAACCACTATCCTCGTGCCAAACTTCAGAGGCCCCTTCTCTATCTTCATTTTCCAACCATTCATTAGCAGCAGTTTCGTGTTGATGTCCATCGATGTTATCTTGAACCCCATCTCCCCATTCTCCAGAAGCTAGACTACCTCCAAATGAGTGCTGCCCTTCACTTTCCAGGATTTGGTCCTGCCACTGTTCTAGTGGTGCAGCAGATTCATGCCAATTTACATCTTCATTGGCAGGGGCTTCCAAATCGCTCAAATGATTGGATAACAAGGGGATGGCACTTTCCCCCTATCTGCATCAGATTGCTGAGAAAATACTTCCCTTGTTAATAGCAGCTGCATGTTTTCCTCAACTTCATTTTCCATAGTTTCTTGGGATGATTCGTTATTACCTTCCTGCTGGTTTCCATTAGCCTCTTCTCCAGTACCATCCCTCCCTTCAACAAATGCAATGTTGGCTAACTGTTGCCCATCTCTCACATTAGAGCCTGAAACTTGTCTCGGCCCCTCTTCTAAATGAGCTGTAAATTCTTGCCAACTTGCATCATCAACAATGTTATCTTCTACATCAGTTCTACTATCCAATAACGCAAGGTTACCATTTTCCTCCATATTTGGCTCGGTTTGTTCATGTAATTCATCTATGACCTGTTGTGAATTATTTGCTTCGATTTGTTCAGTTCTATTACCATTAATGTCAGCGTTAGATGAGGTATCAGAGGCATTGTTGCTTACTTGTCCACAAACAGAATGGTCCAATCTCAAGAAAAATCCTTCCCTGCATATACACATTAGAAAAAAATAAAAATTTACTAAATTAGAATTTGTCCAGAATTACACAGTAGAAATAATGAATGCGACAACATTGTGGCATTACATGATCAGCACTTGGAATTGAAAACCCAAAATACTCTCGAGAAAACCCTAAATAATAAAACATGAAAGAGCCACAGTAGCACTCAACACTGAGTTCACAGCATTATTATTGAAGAAAAATTCAGAAACACATTATTACAACCAAATTCAGAACCCTAAATAATAAACCAGCTTTCCTTATTATCTTGGATGGTAAAAGAATTCAATGATATGGGGAAGAAGGAATATTCCAGAATAAAGGATAAGACATCCTCCCAATCAAAGAAAAGGAAGAATGAAAGAAAATATCAATCAAAATTAATATAACAGGGCAACCAAATCTCGTAGAAGTTCCACTAAAGACTCTTTCAATAAAATGCCTAGAAAGAGAACACGGTACGGATTATAAGATATATATTCCATCCCAAAAATAAAAAGCTCAAATATGCATATTAGGATATGCATTCAAACCAAATATAAATTATACGAGTTTGCTGTTCAAACCCTGGCAAGGAAACCCACGTCCCACCAATCAAATGCAAAGTCCATTTTGAAGTTCTCATAACACAGTATTTTATATAAAAAACCACAGCAATTCCATTATGAAAACTTGACCTTGCTCATTATAGTCGATTAAATCTCTTCACATAACAACCAATTTTTTTTTATAAATTTCCAACGGCTGTGAAAGTGTTAGATTCATTAGAAAGAGGGGAGTGGGGGGAGGATATAGCATACAGATCCAATACCTCAGATCAGATACTGTATGTCTTTGCCTCAATAAACCCAATTCACTTGCTGCCGTGGATGTGGGTCTCTCATCTTCAACGATTCTGTCATTTCGCAAGAATCTACCTCGAAGCAATGACTGCAAAACAAAAGGTTCAAGCAACCATATTAGAAATGCAAGACAATGTTTCAAATAATTCACAAGCAGACATATCAACGGCTAAATATCCATACGTTTATGGTAAGTATTTGATTTCACCAAGAAAAAATGAATGAGAACGGAGAAAACAAATAAATCATAAATGCAAGCATTCAATCAGCCTACGGTAAATAACTGTTCACAGACCCAGTATCTCCGATGATCATTTATTTATTGAACCATCCTCATGTGGAGCCATTAAATATTTAAACCTCAAATATCTATCATCCCAGTACAATTTGCACCATTTTGGATTAAAGATTGCAGTATTTACATTAATGGGTAGTATGCAATCAAATAATAAACAAACAAAATTCATACATATGAAAACATTAACATTTAATAGCAGCTAACCTGAATGCGATTTCGATGAGCAAATTTTGTTACAGCGTGATGCTCCAACAAACCTTGAAGCTCACTTTGCCTTTCCCTCTCAGCCTTCTTAAGCATATCAAGCAAAGCCTGTCTGCCACACAACCGACGAATTCCCCTTCGAGTATGCTCAATTCGACCTTCGTTGTGGTTAACAACCAATCCATCAAGAACTTGTTCAATTCGACCAGTAACTTCAGTACCTTGTTCTTCTCTACGATCAACACAAGCACCTCTCTGCCGGCTGTTCATTTGCACCCACTCCCTTATAATTCTAACCCTTTCCTGCTCAGTTTCACCAAGCCATTCTGCTCTAGAACCATTGTTCCTTCGGGAAATACTGGATGTACATTCCCTCGCACCACAGTTCATCCATTCCCGAAAAATCTGCCTTACCCTCAACCTTTCAACCTCTCCTAGATCAGAAGAGTCCTCTTGTCCATTCTCTGATCCAACTGGACCTGGGGACCATTGTCCATACTCACTCTCCCCAGCACTCCCACCCTCTGAAGAACCACTTTGGCCATTACTGTGGCTATCAGATGCATCCACCCTCAATAGATCAGTGCTCGATCCGTCACTCTGACGTTGGACCAATCTATCAGTAACCCTTCCTTGGACTTGTCTCACCACATGCTCATCCTCAAGCTCCTGCTGTATTTGCAGGTGTGACGATGTCCGGGTGCTGGCCCTCCCATCATCACCCCATCTTCTCACTGCTTCTGATTGAGATTCCCTATGGAAGGAAGAATCAAGCACAGAAACATTGTGTAGACTAGCAATAGCCATTAGTCCAGACTCCAAATTTAGGAAACAAAACCTCTCAACCCATCTGCTTAAAATAAGTGGAAAATAAGTGCATCTATTTACAATAAATACAGGCAGATGATTGCTTCCAAAATTAGATCACCGCATAAATTAGAATTTTATCAAAAACTCTCAGATTCATCTTCTTCCTCGTCACCATCATCAATCTTCAGGACGAAGCCAGATGAAAACAGTGTATTGTAAATATCAAATGACCTACGCATTAAATCATCCAATCTTCTCCCCTCAACTCTTTGCAAACGGGACTCTTCCTCTGCATAAAATTGAAAAAACAAAACATGTCAATCACAGTATTCTCAGAAATTTGTAAATCAAGTAAAACGCAAAAACAAATTCATTCAATTTTCTAAATCCATAAGAAACTTCAAGAAATTAAATCTATTTTTTCCATTATAGTAACCTTCACTCAGCTGAATCCAACAAGAGCAGATTCCTACGAATCTATTCAATTCCTAATCCCTCCGTTTGGTCGCCAGAAAACGCAGGAAAATAGAAGCAATTGAAAATCCATCCCTCGCATTTTCATTCTTTCAAAACGAAATAAAAACACAACAAATTCAAAATTTTACTCTTATTTTCCTTTCTTTTAATGAATTACCGTTACCATTTCCAACTCTCAAAAATCAAAAACCAATAAATCGAGGAAAAAAATAAACAAATCCAGAAATAACCAAAACGACGCACCGTTTATATACAAGGCTCGATTCCTATAAGCGTAAGATAGAAGTTCTGCTAATTTCGAAGTAAAGGAAACGAAACCCTAGAGAAAAAGACCGACTTAGACTGAGAGAGAGAGAAAGTTGTGGGAAGAAAGCTGTGGAGAGAAAGAGAAACAAACAGAGAGTTTTTTGTTTTTGTTTTGTTATTTTAGAGAGAGGGAAGGAACGTAGGAAGATTCATCTTTATTGCAGACAAGCCGTAAAATTAAAACCATAATGACAAATTTCAGTTTTTTCCTTATAGATTCAACAATGTTTCACTTCTGCTTCCATAGTTTAAAATTTCTAAATGTTAGCCCTCTATTTTAAAAACGATTCTGATGATGACTTTTTAAAATACATAATCTTATAAAAATAAGCAATACATATTTTTTTGCATAACTCATGTGGTAGTTTTTTTTTATGAGAAATCAATTATTCTTCCAATCCATACAATCACTTATGATTTCCCATCGTCATTTTTTTCTTTAAGAACTTATACCATTAAAAAAATTAATAAATCATATTTTTTGCTTTTTTTTTTAATTTTTAATTTTTTTTTGTGAGATATTACTACTGACTTGGCTTTTGAGAGGATAAATAAAAAAATTTATTTTGTTGTTATTTTCTTTTTTGGAATTATTTTTTATTTTTTATTTAGTAGCAAAGGAAAGAATTGAAATTTTCAAACAAATAGGGGTTACATACAACATTGTAATTTATAGGGGGTTAAATGGAACATTAATAAATATATAAGGATAACAATATAGTTTACCCGAATAAATGGGAATGTGGACACGTCATGAGTTTCCCATATTATACCCATAATTCTTGCCGTAACCATAACGTCTTCATATTTTTAGAGCAACCAAGACGTTACACGTGGTAAATGTCTCTTTCATTACGAGGGTGTTTGCGGAAATTTCTAAATCTTGAATGTAACGGGAAGTGAGGAGGAAGCTGGGAAACAGGAGTAAACGACACCGGATTCAGGGTTGCTTTTCACCTACCATGGTAACGGCGCCGTTTCTATGCTTTCGCGTTTGGTTGTTGTGGAAGGGTAAGAATGAAATTTTAAAAATGGGTGGGATTTTTTTGTTAGACTGAGTTACACGTGCCGCCAAATAACCGTTTGAACGGCAATTCAAAAGAGTGACGTCATGTTGGCTTTTTCCCAAAAGAAAAAGTGAGGAAGAAATCTGAGTGGAGTATATATTTTGTCTTCATTAGGAAAATTTTAGTTAATTTTTGTGGGAGATTTGATTGCACGTGGTTTTGACAAAAAAAAAAAAAAAAACAGCAGATTATTAACCACGTCACTATGTCCAAACATTTTTTTAACTCATTTTGTACTTTTATTCTTTTTCTCTATCGAAACTCAAATTTTATCAATTTTGGATTCAAATCTCTTTTCTTTTGGGAAAAAATTATTAAAACACATCTTTATGGGGTTAAATTCTACTCATTTTTTGGTATGAAATTATTTAAAATAAGATGATACTTGTTGAATAAATTATTAGATAAATTTAATTTACTGAATACATGGATCCAATTCATAAAAAAATTTGTGTCAATTTATTTATTCATAGTGGAAAATAAAATATATTTTTTTATTATTATAGTTATCGTTTGAGTATTTTAAAGTTGATGATATGACTGAATAAAACCATATATTCTTTTATAATTATAACTGATTGGTTTATAATTTCAAATCGTGAATCACATTCTTCATAAATATTTCTCCTCTTGTTCTTGTATGAGAACTTGCTATCTAAAGTTCCCATGACGAGTTTGCTTCCTTTTGTTTTCTTTTTACTTTTAAACTTTATTTAGTTTTTAACAATTTTAATTTATCACTGCTAGAAATGACTTTAGAGAGAGAAGTAAAATTGAAATTGAGTTTTTGAAAGGAGAAGTTGAAGATAAAATCTTTTTATTGTATTTTCTTAATCCGAATTAATATTTACAGAATATTATCTATATATGTACACAGTAATGAAATATAGCTAACTTATTCAGTTAATCAACTAACTAACTCTGTATCTAACTAATTAATTAATTAAAATAGTAGTAAATATTAGTAGCCAGTCTTCTTCTTCTTCTCATTATAGTCACAATATCTTAACTCCTCTCTACCATATTATTTTTGGTTTTTTTTTTTCAATTTTATTAGGATGTATGAAATGAAATGATAAAATATCACGTTGTAACAAAAAGGGAGTGCATCGCGAGCTTGCATTATAGAAATTTTTTTCGTGATACAGTAAATTTTTCCATTGTAATTAGTATTTATATTTTAAGATTTTCAACCTTAAAAATATCGTCACACTTATATATTATATTCAGGTCAACTTGCAAAACATACTCTTCGGTTATGAAAAATAGTTTATTCTATCCTTACACAATTGGTTAAGTCTTCACTTTATCATGTTTTTCTATCTAAATTGATATAGTTTTATTTTTCATTCTAAACTACCATTGAACTATACAACAAAATAATTTTCATTTTTTAAAATAAAAAGTTATTTTTTAATATATTTTAATTGATGAATAATTTTGAAACTTTTTTTAAAAAAATATTTTGAGCAATTTTGAGAAAATTTTATATTATATTCTTAAATAACTCAAGTGTAATCATGTCAATTTAAGTGAATTTTTTTTTATTGTAGGTCGTATTGGAGAATAGGATACCATACAATGACATAATAAATATAATTAGAAATATAAAAACTAGTCTGATTATATGTAAAAAAAGTTACTCAATCTGTCCCAAAAAAGTTGTATTATTTTCTATTTATATATGTCCTAAAATACTTGTTTCGTCAAAATTTTAATAATGTATTTTTTAAAAATACCTATATTTTTGTAATGGAGGATTAAATTATATAAATATTCTTCTCGAACAGAAAAAAAAAGATATTTTAAAAAATTATTGTAAAAAATACTATATAATATTGCATTTAATAAATTTTTTAAACCATGTGAAAAGTGCAAAAATGACTATGATCATTTTGGGACAGAAAAAATATTTAAAGATAGATTGAGTTATTTACCGTTTAGTTTAATCTGTATCTTTTACGCTAAGCAGTTTAAAAGTTTTGTGCAACCATTGATGTATTATATATTATGCCATTGATACTTGATTTTCTTTAAAATAAATGAGAGGTGAACAAGTTATCCTAAACTAGGATAAGATCAACACATAATACCCTCATTATATATATATATATATATATATATGAAGAGACATCACTTTAATTGTGTAGGGTCAGAACTTTAGGATAACTCTACAAACAAAATAGCTAAGCATAAAAGTATTATCCATAATTATAATTAATTTCACGACTCGAATCCAAGTTCCATTAGCAGGACAAAATAACTTGGTGTTTATGGTTTAATAATTTATAACGTAGCTAGCTATCATTCCTATATATATGCCTCAAAACTCAGTTATATATGCTTGCATGTACTGCTTGTACCATAAAAATTAAATTAAATTTACAATTAACAAGTTAAAGTATTTTCAATCACCCCATTTATGTAGTCCAAAATCAAAATATATAAAAATCGATTTCAGAAAATTTCTTGTACATAAACTTTATTTTTTTATTTTTTATTTTTTGTTCATATAAACCTTAAGGCCACCACTTCCTCCTTCATCCTCATGCCAAAGCAGGAAACAGAAGAGGAGCTCCTTCCATTCTTCCTCTCTCATTCTCGATCATTAGAAATATTTCAAAATATTAGACATTTTGAGTACAAAAGGAATTTATGTAATAGCTTCGAATTTTTAACTAGTTTTTATAATTTCATGATATTTAAAGGGATCATTGTAATAGTTTGCCCTAAATTTATTACAATAGTTTTAATTTTGAAAAGATAATTATTATAATAAATAATTTTATTAGATATTAATTTTATTTTACTTCATAAATGAGAACAATAGTTATTTATTTATTTTTTAGAATGAATGACTATGTTATTTAAGTGGGGTTGGATATAGAACACTGCTTATGTACCTTCCATCTTTCATTTTATGGAAAGATCATTTTATTTTATTTTATTTTATTTTATTTATCTCTGGTATGAATTAAAAACTTACATATTTGTATGGAAGAAATAAAGATCAAAACCTTACGTAATTCTTGTTCTTTTAAATTCATTAAAAAAACATAAAAAAAAATAATGATAATCGATCAGGATTATGAACTCATTGTCATCAATATTCATAAGCTTAACTCTACCCGGAAAGATTTTCGAAAAATTAAAGGGACCCATCCATAATGCATCAATGTCATGCACAGGATCGCAGATTGACTTCCACGTCAAATTTCGTTGTTGCATTTCAATGGTTCAAAACAACTTGTTTCTCATTCAATTTTGTACACTAGTTGACCTTTCGCTACGACCCTTAGAGAAGGGACTTCCACGTCAAATTTGAGTGAGAAATGATGCAAAAAACTCCGTAATGTATTGTTTTTCTCTTACATTTACGGAAAGCAAGAGAGTAGGCCAGCAACACAAATGCAATTAACTAGTTTCTCTTGTTGTTTTTCTCTTACATTTGCTCAGTGGGTCTTATTTTTCAAACGAGTCCATGATTAAAATTTGAGATTTACTGTTAGATTTCATGTTCGGTTTTGATGAAAATTTAAGGATTTAAAGAGTTATTCACCATACCAATTCTACTTGAGCCACCTTCCTATTAAACTAAAAACAAAAAAAAAACGTCATTGGAAGGAAAATGGAATATAAAAAAACTCTCTGCTTGTAATTAAGTTTGTTAAAAGGATCTTTAATGCATTAGGTTCATGATTACGTACGGAATACTGGATGGAATATGTTAACCTAAAGTTGCAAAGAAAGTTAAACGCAATTAAATGCGAATGCATTTGCTTATTAATTAAAAATAAAATAAAAAGGTGCTCATAATTCATAACTAGTACTGGACTGACTTTTTGGGACCAAAACCATAGCTTGCTACTTTCTAAGTTTATGCATACTTTTAAGTCCTCCTAATCCTGCAGCAACCCGTCACCAACAATATAAATAGCTAGCTATAGGTTGGTTTACAAAATGCCATTCTCAACTACCTGAACATGAAATTGTCAGTGTAAATGATGGTACTTTTTGCTGATAGGTAAATATCATCTTAAACTGATTTTCGGACTTTTTTTCAACTTCATTTCTAGACTCTATTCGCTAACAAATATTTGATTCGTTTTGCAGCTTGCAGATATATTTTAATGTTTATGTATTCCATAATTTATTTTAATAAAACAAGTTCAAATTTTAATAGTTTCAATTTATTATATAATAGGAGATGGTTTCTTCTCCTTATATAATCTAAAACTCGCGAACTTTTCGATATATATATATATATTCAATGCGTATTCGATACTTCTCAAAGATATCTAAAATTAATAAATATTAAAACATTGTTTCTGATATCTGGGATAATTTTAAAATGTTTTACACTTTCTTTATATAGCTCGCATCCAATATGGGATCTGATGATCCATATGACACGACTATAACCTACATATTCTAACATTTTGTAAGGCATATTATATATTAGAGCACTGCCAGATATGGGAATGTTGACAATATTTGAAGAGAAATTTAAAATTGAGGACGATATTGAGATCTTAATTAACGATGCATATCCTAATAAAAAAGGGAGCAAATTTCTATCAGCATCGAGCACGTAGAAATTAAGCTTGTTTTACACTTTACACTTTATGCAGTTAATTAGAAATATCAAGAAATTATTTGATTTAATTATCTGCCAGTAAAATCGGTAGTGCTTATAATCGTTGCTAATATAACTAGGAGGCATTGATTCATTTAACTGATTTAAAGGTAATTATGGCTCATTCATAGGCATTAATTATACTGATTTAAAGGTAATTATGGCTACTTCATGACCAACGAAAGTCGGCCATCATGGAGATCATATAAGGACATGGCCCTAAAGCAAGAGGAAAAAAAAAAAAAAAAAGAACGTGTCCCTAAAAGTACCCCCTCTCGTGTCTAAACCCCACATTATGCTCGTACATGTCTTTGTGCAATTTTTTTCTTTGTTTTCTTGATGAATTTATGTGCTTGTTTTAAGGTCCCATGCACACATATATAAACAAATTAGATGCACGGGGTCCAAAGATTTAAAGTTGATCATCTATATATGTTCCTCAGCCACATGTCAAGTCCTAATTGAGATGACAATTCATGAATCTCCTCCCGCACCACATAAGTAAATTAAAAGACTCCTTCTCAACCATACTTATGATAGCCTTTTCTACTTGATAAAAAATAACAAATGAAAAGAATAAATACTCCAAATTATATATCAAACTTATAGGGTTAAATTAATTTAATTATGCATAGGTGCTAATTTAGAACATGTAGTCATATGGATCATCTTCAATGAGGAATGTAAAACGTTAACAAGTTCATCTATTTACAGGGAATAGTAATACAAAATATTAAAAAAAATTATAAAAATAATTTTTTTAAAAAAAATACACATGGACCATTAGATTATTTGATTTTAAAAAGAAATCTAATTGTAGGTCTTAGTAATCTAAAAATCCATATATTTTCTCGGAGTTTTTTCTTCATATTTTCCTAGATATTTTCTTAATTAACATTTAGCATCATTTTATAGGAAGTGAAAAGACAGTTATAAAAGTTCAATTTTTTCCATAAAAGCAAAAACAAAAAAGAAAAAGCACTACGAAAGAAAACATGCAATTGAAGGGGAAGCAGACAAATGAAAGAAATAAAAAAGAAAGAACCAGATGCATATAGTGGGGTAAATAGTTGTTGTAATAATTGGATCTTGATGGATCTTGATTAAGGGCCAAATATACATGTGTGCCCATTAACATAGAGACATATTAGTATGGTGATATAAAGAAAATGTCAATTGAGTTAGGTTGCCCGTCTTTCAAACTCATTCTTGTCCGTGAATTTCCACTTCCTCCTTCGCATCATATTCTCCATGGTTTCCTTATGAAGAAGATGGAGGGGTCCTAGCCCTAGTCCTAGTAGTGAAAGTGCAAATTAGAAAAATTAGAATAAACTAAAATTCTAGGAAGATGGATACCGAAATAGAAAAATTAGAATAAACTTGAAGATAAAATTACAAGGAAAGCGGTAGGTATAATAACATGATTTTTCAAAGAGTATAATTTAAAACTTTCAAATTTTTATGATTTAAATACATGTAAAATTTTTCAAAGTTTTGGGTTCTATAGCTAATTCAACCGTCTGCCTAGTTCCGACCTCGAATTAAAAATGACAACGGAGGTCCATGAAAGCAGAGGATATATACAGTACCCTTCATTTCAACCTTTATAAAGGTTTTTTAACCTTCACCCGCCTAAATTTATTTATATCGAAAGCCATTTTCAATCCTCCATACCCATTTTTAATCGGAGGCGGATCTCAAATGGAGGTCTATAGAATTTTCGTCATCACAAATTTCTATTAAATAAAATACACAAACCAAGAAAAAATAAAATATTTTATTTTTATAGGTTAATAGATTAATTTGTTTTTATAGAATATTCAAATTATGTTTCTACATTTCTCACTGAATTCTATATATTTTTGAAAATTTTTGAAATATTTAATTTATCTTTCTAGATCAAATTTTTTAATAATAGATAAATTTTTTAATCGAAATATCTTTTATTAAAATATATAAATAATAAATAAAACATTTAAAGTAACATCACATACATGTTTTATTTTTAAAGTGTTTAGATTTTTTTTATATATATATTTTAATCAAGGTATTTCGATTAAAAATTTATAATAGAAAAAATTAATTGAAATGACAAATTAAATATTTTAACAATTTAAAAAAAAATTGACGTAATTGAAATTTAAAAATAGATAGATATATTTACTTATTTTGTCCTCTTCCGATATAATTTATTCACATGAAACTCAAGAATATGACATGTTGAAATATTAGGTGCAACAACAAATCAACTGTAATGTATAAAGGGGACTAAATGTATAATTTAGTGGGGTCTTCTATACTTAAATACTGAACTATATTTTAGGTGTGGCATTAATATTTGACTTGTAGTTTTTCATATTCCCAGTAATTGTTTCACTTTACGTGAAAGTCACCCCTAGGGAATAATCACATTTCTGTATGCCCAGTCAATATCACCCTCTTACCTTTCTTTTTACATTTTGCTTTGCTTTGCATCTTGTTCCTCCTCCCCCCCCCCCCCCCCCCGCGCCGGGCACTTTCTCCTCCTTTTCTTCTTTCTTCCTTTTCTTTTAAATAACTCAATTTATTTTTATATAAAAAGATAATTTTTTGAATTTTTTTTTCTACCACCTTCTCCTCCTCCTACTTTTTTTTTAATAATTCAATCTATCATAATATAATATATAATATATTCTTCAATATGTTTTTCTATCATTAACCGAGTCAATCTTAATATAACTTATTCTTCGATATGTTTTTTTATCGTTAACCGAGTCAATTTTAATCTTAAATATATGTTAAGTTTTTAATTTATCATTTTATAAATATTTTCGAATCCAACCATCAAAATTATTTATGTAATTCAATACATAAATAATTTTTATTTTAAAATATCATTACAAGTCAGTCAAATAGAAAGTTTTTATGCGTAAATTGTGCAATTAATTTCGATATTTTAGCTTGAAATTTTTTTAAAAAAATAAATTATATATTTTAATGTGTATTCAATGATAAAATTGATTTAATTAGATATACAAAGATATATTAAAGAATTATCTTATACGAATTAAGCCATTAATTTATTTTTGTTCCATGCTGAAAGGCCTCGCTTCAATGACTGGCCGTCCAACAGTCATAGCCCATTTTCAAAATGGGCCTGAACCAGTTCTCTATTCAGAGCAGAGACCCAGATGTTAGGAGTTGAAATTTTGTGGCCCAAATTTTAGTTGCAATTTTTTGTTTATTTTGATTATTGAATGGATCAAATTTATAGAAGCTAACAAATATAAACGGGCATTTAGTTAAACAGCGTTCTTTTCCGTGAGTAGTTTGAAATCTGATTAGGGAGAGATTTAATTTCACGAAAATTAGCTTTACTCTTAAAAATAATAAAAAAATAAAAAATAAAACGTATAACTAGAAATTCGAGCTCTCTATTTAATACTATAAAAACGAAAAGAGAGTGAACCACCACACTTCAAGCAAATAAAAATAAAAAATAACGATATCAACACAACCATTAGTTATTGATCTCACAAATGCAGTTTGGAAGTGCATGCATACAACATACATTAAACCTTTAAATACAAAAAAAAAATAATATTAATAATTTCACACCAATCCCGGAAAAATAAAAATGAAAACACTTATAGCAAGGTATGGAATAGATTCTACATCACATAGGCACTGATTACCAATCCAAGTCACAAGAAGTAGTCTCCAAACTTTTTAAGGAAGACATATGCACTTTCACTGGAGAGCATGAAATCCTTAACGTGCGATGCTTCAACTTGATTATTCCTACCTTAAACCGAATTCTTGCCTTAATTCTGACATCTAATCCAATGTCTCCTGACGTTCTTTGCTGCTTTAAGTCTCTAGACAAAGCCTCTGACAACGCCACGTCGCGAGCCACAAGCGCGGCATCTAGCCGAGTCACGTTTCTATGCGGTTGATAGAAAGGCTCGAGGGTGTTGAACGCAATGGTTTGACCCTCATAGGATGCAGAAACTTCAATAGAATCATAGTATACAGAGATTTTGCCATTAGGGTTATGAGCTTTTACGATGAAATCAAATGTGGCATTCAGGTGGTTATTGTTTTGGTTGAACTGGTGGACTGAGGCACTGTCAATTCTGTAAACAAGCTGTTTAGGCTTGATTATTAGCCAAGTGATGAGGACTGCTAGACCGAAAAGGACAATTAAGGCTAGGATGACTACAGCTATGATTCGGCAAAGTTTGGAGGCTGGTGATGGAGGCGGGACAGTGTTAGCCATGTTGAAAGGATGGTTTGTTGTGATCAAATTGTGACTTGTTTTATAGAGAATGAAAAGTTAGAGAATGTTTTGGCTAACAAGCAACATTAGTGAAACAATCCAAGCTTTTGCTTTGGCATGGAAGGACTTGCCAGCTGAACCTACTGGACTAAAAGATTACAGAGCATTTAGGCTATGCCCTTCGAATTTTCTTTTTGCCTTTTTCATTGTCATTACAACGCTTTTTTCCCCTTTAAGATTTCTTGTATGTAACTCAAAACATCTGAGAGATTGATCAGGTTCCAATATTGTTCTTTTCTTCAGACTGAATGTTGTTATAAGTTTCATTTATACCTGGATACTTTTAGGTACGTGGGGCACATAGTACTATGCTGTGGTGGGTGCTTTATCATTTGTTTATGTTTTTTTTCCTGCGTATGAATGTGCAAGGAAAGAAGAATATGCCAGAGAGACAAATTATCCATTGGTGAGTGCCGATGTTCGATAATAATCACTTTACCAGGTATATATGGGCCGAAAAGTTCTTGATTAACTAGCTAGATGATCCAAGATGCAGGTAATTTGAGTAGACTGCCACTTAGGACGATTTTGCTTGGGAGTAATTTCTATGAAATCAAAAAAATGGATTAAAATATTATAGAATAAATTATAAATCAGTTCCTTTAGTTTTGAGAAACAAATTAATTAGTTCCCATTATTCTAAAAAAAAACTAATTATTAGTTCTTATATTTTTAAACTTTATTGTAACTCAATCATTTTTGTTCTCTTGTAATTTATAAATTTTTTTGTTTTAAGAAACAAAAAAAATAAAATAAAAAAGATTGATGAGAAAATGTGATTTTTTAAAAAAAATAAAGTAATATAAAATTAAGTGCAGTCAACATTGGTGAATGAATCAAATAATTAATTTTTGAAACAAAAGAGACTAATTAATTCATTTTTCAAACATAAGGGATTAATTTATAATTTACTCAAATATTATAATATTCCAAACTAGAAATTTACAGATTGAAAAGGATCTATATACTCTAAAAAATAGAGTTGTCCAGATAGATTAAGCTCAATATATCACTTAATACAATTAACTAGATCATCAAAACCAACGAGTTTAATTATTAATTAATTAGGATGAACTACTAAATATATCCTTATATAATAGGATGAAATTCTAATATGCTTCCACATTTCTAATTGAATTTAGTATGTTTTTGTATAATATCAAATTGTCAAATTAATCTTTTTGACCACCCTTTCCACTACCCAAAAAAAAAAAAAAATCATTTAGCAACGGTTTAAACCATCACTAATTAAACTTAGTGACTTTCGTTAAAAAACTTCTCGCTAATTAATTAGCGATGGTCCAAGGAATCCATCACGAAGAGACGGTTTATCCATCGCGAAAAAATAAAAATCCATCATTAAATAACAAGAAAAAGGTTGCCAATTTAGCAAAGGTTTTCAAAAAACCGTTGGTAAACCGTCATTAAATTTAGCTTCTATTTAGAGATAGTTTAGATAAACCATCGCTAATTATGACCAAATTTAGCTTAGATTTAGCTACTCGTTTGAAACCGTCACTAAATCAAATTTTTTTGGATGATATTTTCGGGCAATTATTTTGTTGTTAACATATTGCTCATAAGAAATATAAAATTCAATCTAATCTAACAATAACAATAACAATATGAAATATAATTATAGAAAATACGAATCCTTTATAATGTATAAAATCCAATCCAATCTAATATATATTCAAACAACAAATCATATTAAAGTGTATTAATATTTCAACAAATAAAAACATAAGAATGATATTAAAAAAAAAAAAAAAGAGTGAGATGAAGGAGCTACATGTCACATATTAATATTTTCATCCGACCCATGATGGTTACTTGAAGGATTTATGAAAGAATTACCTTTATGCATATTCACTAACATCCGTTGCATTTGCTAAATCATCGCAAGCTACTCCTAATTATCTTGCTCCAATTGCTTTTGATTTTCAAGGAGCAACGTAACGATACCCTCTAGTTTTTGGATCTTTTCTTCTTGTCTAGTAGCGTTAGCCACCACTTCCTTTTGATGCACCTCAATATCGATATGTAACCATGAAGTGGTCAAACTAGAAAATGAACTAACATTTGAGTAATAATGAGAGGTACGTGACCCAAGTCCGTATATTCTCTTTCTCTTACTATCTCCTCCTCCAATAGTCCTCTTAGATGTCTCGTTCATGTCGATATCGAGTGTTAAAGTACCTTCCATCCCTCGGTTAGCAACTTCCTCCTCAAATATTTTATTGATGATGTCCTATAAAATTGAAAATTTTTTAATATTAAATAATAATATCCAATAAGTTATATAAAAATGACGCACATATGATATAAGCTTATAAATTACTTACTTCAAGATTTTTTGCTCGTTGATCGATGAATATATATTTATCATCAATTTTTTTTTCGTGAGTCTTCAAGAACACGTCGTGACCATTGAGTTCATGACCCAACTCCTTATGCTACAACAAATATACTTAAATATATATTGATGTTGCAATAATTACAAATAATATCTATATATAAATTGAATTTACGATGCGTATTGCATGCTCTCTGTGTGTGATTGAATCCCGCATATCTAGATGGGCCAGCCTTAATGTTCCTTGTTTTGCTCGTGCGGTTTCGAGTTGGTTGCTCATATCGAGTCGGAGACTCGAGTTATGCTCATTCCTATTGTCATGCACATCTCATATCTCCTGTGAGATATATATTAAGTGTCTTCACATGATAAAAGAAGTCGGAATATCGCTTCAGTGCAAGACTACGTCATACTTTCCTAAAGTTTCCATTGAACTCATAGTCCCACATAAAGAACTTCGGAAGAACGTTAAAATTTTTTATTAGTACATTTAAATTAACATCAAGCAACTTAATTGAAATGTACTATAGCATAATTAATTAAGCTACATATTAATTACCTCAAACTCCTCCCAATAGAATTCTTTAGCACAGTCGGTAATTGACTTCTACGTCATTCTAGATAGGTCGACATGCACATCGAATGCCTTAAACTCCTCACATAAATAACTTAATTAACATCTAATTAAATATTTTTAAAAAATAATTAATTTAACTAACAACTAATTAAATTATTTTAACAACTAATTAAATAAACTTAACACCTAATTAAATATTTTAAAAAATTAATTAATTTAATTAACAACTTATTAAATTATTTTAACAACTAAATAACTTAATCAACAACTAATTAAATAAACTTAACAACTAATTGAATATTTTAAAAAATTAATTAATTTAATTAACAACTAATTAAATTATTTTAACAACTAAATAGCTTAATTAATAAATAATTAAATCAACTTTAAAGCTAATTAAATATTTTTAAAATTTTATTAATTTAATTAAAAACTAATTAACTTAATTTAACAACTAAATAACTTAATTAAAAACTAATTAATTAAACTAACATCTAATTAAATTTTTTTAAATTAATTATTTTAGTTAAAAACTAATTAAATAAAATTAACACCTAATTAAGTATTTTAAAAAATTAATTAATTTAATTACAACTAATTAAATTATTTTAACAACTAAATAACTTAATTAAAAACTAATTAATTAAACTAACACCTAATTATTTTTTCTTAAATTAAATAATTTAATGAACAACTAATTAACTAAACTAACATCTAATTAATTTTTTTAAGTTAAATAATTTAATTAACAACTAATTAACTTAATTTAATAACTAAATAACTTAATTAACAACCAATTATTTAAACTAACACCTAATTAAATTTTTTAAACAATTAAATAATTTAATTGACAACTAATTAACTTAATTTAACAAATAATTAACTTAATTAACGACTAATTAATAAAACTAATGCCTAGTTAAATTTTTTAAATAATTTAATAATTTAATTAATAACTAACAAATTAAAACTAAAAAGAAAATAAATTAAACCAAATAAAAATTAATTCAACAACACTATATATAAATATTGAAATCAAAGGGAAAAAAAAATCAATCAAAGTATTGAACTCACAATGATTAAGCTAGGAGGAGCTACCGCCAACTCATGAAGAAAAGGAGGGAAGGGAGGAGGAGAAGGAAAGGAGAGAAAGAAGAAGAAAATGGAGGAGGAAAAGGGAAGGGATGGAGGGGAAGAAGAAAAAAAGAGAGAGAGAGAGAATGAGAGTTTGGAGTGACTAATAGCATCAATGGAGGATTTGGAATGGTTGGAGACGTTAGCGAAGAAAAAAAGTGAGAAGAGAAGGAAAAAATGGAGAAAATGAGGGAAAAGAGTGTCCGCCACCAATTTAGGCATTTTGCGTTTAGCAACGATTTCAAAACCATTGCTAAACCATCGCTAAATGCTTTTTTAAAAAAATTTGTTTTCCCTTTAGGTTTGATATTTAGAGACGATTTTATAAGATTGTCACTAAAGTAAGCGAGAAAATAGGGGAATTAGTTATGGTTTTACTAAAACTATAGCTGAAAACCCCATTTCTTATGAGACAGCTTTTAGCGACGATTTTTCTTAGGTCGTCACTAAAAATCTCCAAATATTTAGGATTTTTTAGCGACGAGTCTACTTAAATCGTCTTTAAATATTTCAAAAGTATCCGTTAACATTTTTAGAGAATTTAGCGACGGTTTACTAAAATTGTTGCTAATTTTCTCGTTTTAGCGACAGTTTAATCGGACCATCGCTAAAGAAACCAAAAAAGGAGGGAATTAGTGATGGTTTTACAAAAATCTTCATTAAAAACCCATTTCTTACATCTTTTAAGGATGATTTTTCCTAAATCGTCATCATTAAAAATCTCAAAATATTTGGGGGGTTTTAGCGATAGTCTCCTTAAACCGTTTCTAAATATCCCAAAAATATTCGTTAGCATTTTTGGAAAAATTTAGCGACAGATCAATTAAAACCGTCACTAATTTTCCCCTATAGCAACGGTTTAATCGGATTATC